CATTGAACAACACGGTTACAATCAATTTTCGAGTTTCTGCTGGGCGAGGAGTTGGGGGTGGGGAAGAAGTGGTCAAACTTACAGTGGTATGTACTGTTCAACTTCAATGGCCACATGTCTCCTCAAGACATCCAGTCCACATGAAAACTGTCTGGCTAGCAATTCTCTTGGGTAATTTGCCGCACTTGCATAATGTAGAGAGGTGAAAGTAAGGCAGCACACCCCTCCAGTCAGCGGTGGCACTCTGGCCACAGAAGGAGGTAGAGCACACTCCCAGATGGGCGCTCCCAGGGCTGTTCTGCAGACGGCCATGCTCAGCAGCAAGTGGCCAAGCAAGTTAAAGGGGCTGGCTCAGGCATGCCTTCCCACCCCTTTCCAGGACCCCATTCTGGGACTCCCCCACGCCTGAGCCCTCCAGAACACACCATTTAGGGCAGGCAGGCTGGGCTGAAACCCGCTCAAGAGCCCTACCAGGTCCCTGCTTGCTGTTCCCCTTCTGTCACTATCAGGGAGGGAGCGCTCACAGCGAGTGTACATTCTGTCTCCTGACCAGGGAGGAGGACAGGCAAGGGGGGGAGTGGACTGAGTGACTCATTCCCTGAGAATGACAGAAGGGGAACAGCAAGCAGCAAGTGGATAGGAATCTTCTGGGGTTGAGAGGGCTTCACCCACCCATGCCATGCTAAATGGCATCCTGGCTTCCCAAATTCCCAACCCTCACCAACACCTTGCCCTGAGCCCCCATTCCTCCACCCCCTTCAGGGCTGGCCTTAACATGAGGCAAATTGAGACGGCCACCTCAGGTACCAGACTTTGGGGGAGCACCACTAGGACCCAGAAAATTGAGACCTTTCAAAGTTTTGGCCCAAGTGAGGGAGCGTGGGGGCATAATTTGAGCTCCCTGCCTTAGGAGCCAAAATGTTGTGGGCCAGCCCTGACCCCCTTGCCCTGGTTCCTGCATCCCCACACTCCCAGCCCCCTGCCCTGAAACCACCATACCCCCAGCCAATCCCCTGCAACAACCACATACCCACATCCTGACCTAAGCCCCTGCCCACACCCTCATCCACGAGCCCCTGCCCTGATTCCCGCACTACTCCCCGCCCCTCACACTCCATCTACTCTTAAATTTTTTTTACAGGTACTGTCATATTGCTACGCCCAGCCTCCGGTTGGTATTGGTGTGAGAAATACCGACGTACCTGTAAGACATGCATTTAATTTTATCCCTGACAATGTAATCCATTTGGTATCAGGGCAGTAGGTGCAAGCCTATTCATACATCTCTAGTTGTTGTTAAATAATATTTTCCAGGGACAGTGAATGCTGTCCACAAGCTTTTGACGCAATTAAGAATATAGTTTGAGCCCCAGGTACATAGGTGCTAAAATACAGGTGCTAAGAGTGCTCCAGTACCCCCTGGTATGAAGTGATTTTCATCATATAAAGATATTCCAGTTTTGTTTAATGGCTCTCAGCACACACACTGTACACATTGTTCCAGTAGCCCTACCCAGCTGCGTACAAAACTCCTTGCTTGAAACTCAACTTTAACAAAAGTTGGAGCATGATTTTTTTTTTTTGGAAAGGCTGTATCTCAGAAACCCCAATGACCTCAAATTGTATCACTAGCCCTACCCTATACCTTCATGAACTCACCACATATCATGACGCTCTGTGTAGCCCCTCTGATATTAGAAAACGTAGAAAAAATCATCCTTTAAAAAGAAAGGGCTTCTCAACCATAACTAGAGGGGAGCCAATGCTACCCTATCAACTGAAATTACTAGTCTTCTTAATCACTATCAACTAATCTTACATTTGGAATCCATTTAATACACAATATAGTGCCCTGGACAAGTTATTAAATGATAAAAAAATGACTTTTTTAAAAAAAGAATATGCCACAGAGTATTTCTCGGGCAGGGACATGCAGCATTGTAGTTTTCTTCTAGTGCTTAACACTGAAATGAATGAGCAGGAATTCAAGCTACAACTTGAGTTTAAGTTTAAAATTATTCTTTTTACAAAATTATACAGGCTGATTAATGAATTCCAGTGATCCTTTGTGTAGTGCTGTTGCCATATGAAATATTAAAATATAAATCTACCTGGAGAATAATATAACAATGGACGTTCATATTGCATTACTGACAGAGATGGCAGATGGCTTCCTTTATTGTCAGGCTGATTTCATTTCTTCCATGTTAGTGAAGGGTGAATCTCAAACAGTTCAAATGTTCAGTCTGATAAGCACAGAAAAGAGTGAATGATTAAATTTGCAGCATACCTGAACCTCCTTAAGGCCAAATCCGGCAGTTTCTTTGTACTTTGAAATTCCACTGAATAAGTTGAAGAAAGTAGGGCCCTAAATCAGGAAAGCAGATTGGAAATATCAAAAGATCTGACATTCAAATGATTTTCCGGAGTTCTTTTTTTCAGAGGGCCAAAGATTTGGCTATCTTATGATATCTCCTCTTTGCATTTCACTCGCAGGCTTTTGCTGTCACCTAAATCCAGGAAGCACAGAGGTAAACGAGGGCTGCCAACCCTCTAGGATTGGCCTCGAGTCTCCCGGAATCAGCATCAATCTCCAGGTGACTACTGAAAGTAAATCTGGAGATTTTAATAGGATATTTTAAGACAATAACATTACATCATGTTGGGGTGGTGGGAATCTCCCAGAATAGCTTCATTCTGTTTACAACCCAGACAAACAAGATAAGCAAGGGGTAGAAAAGTCTTAGAGAAGTAAAACAAAAACACAAATGATTTGATTATCCCCATCTCCTTCTGAGTTTACATCACATATTTGAAGATCTGCAATTTTGGAAGAAGAGAGTATATCAGGGCAGGAGGAAGTCAGAACTGAAAGTTTTGTGGGGAATTTTATTATCAAATCCTAGGTTATGTCTAGATAGAAAAGTTGGGAAAAGATATGCAAATTGTGAATGGCGAAAGAACAAGTCCGCTTTTTTGGAAATTGATACCTCCGGTATCATGGAAAAGCTCTGCTGTCTAGACATAGCCCTAGTGAAATTCCAAAAGTTATTCTGTATAGGTAGTAAATACCACCGTAAACAGCATTAATTTACCTTAATGACACTTGCCCCCCATGCTGAACAGGAATGGCATAGGCACAAGGAAGAGATAGTAACTTAGACTTCCCAAGTAATCTTATTGCCATATTGCAGCAGCAGCAGTCCTTAGCCTCAGATTTTTCAGATAATCTGTCCTAGGGGGTATTTGGAAGGTCATGACACTTGTCTTGGGATATACAGCTGACATAATAGCTATTTTCTTTCTCTAATTTATAACATTCATATTCACATGCTTAAACTAGGGATAGAAAAAGACAGGAGGGCTACGTCTACACTGGCCCTTTTTCCGGAAGGGGCATGTAAATTTCACTCGTCGTCGTAGGGAAATCCGCGGGGGATTTAAATATCCCCCGCGGCATTTAAATAAAAATGTCCGCCGCTTTTTTCCGGCTTTTAAAAAAGCCGGAAAAGAGCGTCTAGACTGGCCCCGATCCTCCGGAAAAGGGCGCTTTTTCCGGAGGATCGGGGCCAGTCTAGACGCTCTTTTCCGGCTTTTTTAAAAGCCGGAAAAAAGCGGCGGACATTTTTATTTAAATGCCGCGGGGGATATTTAAATCCCCCGCGGATTTCCCTACGACGACTCGTGAAATTTACATGCCCCTTCCGGAAAAGGGGCCAGTGTAGACGTAGCCCCTTGGGTGTATCTACACAGCAAAGTTATTTCGGAATAAGAACTGGCATTCCAAAGTAACTATATGAGTGTCTCCACAGCAATTCTGTTATTTCAATATAATTTTGAAATAACAGATGTCTTATTCTGAGTTCAGTACACCTTATTCTATGAAAAATAACGCCATTTCAAAATAGTTATTTTAGAACAGGGGTTATGTAGATGCTCCATTTCTGCTCTTTTGAATTAGCCCCTCACCAGGGCCATTCTACGTTATTCCTCCTTGGGCTCTAAATTGAGATAGCAGGTCTACATTAGGGATTAATTTTGAGGCTTCCCTGCAGTGTAGACATGCTATTTTTAAATAATCTATTTTGGAATAACTTTCTAACATTGTTAGTTTTTTTGACTGCTGCTGCACATTGAGCAATATTTTGAGAACTACCAAAGTTGATTTCAAGATTTCTTTCCTTTACATATATAGTTGGGATATGTTGTCTAGTGTGCATTATTTTGTGTGTTTTCAACATTGAATTTCATCTGTCATTTTCTTGTTCATCCACCCAGTTTGTGAAATCCCTTTATAACTGTTCGCAGTCTGCTTTGGACTTAACAATCTTGGGTAATATTGTATCATCTGCAAATCTGACAGCTCACTGTTTATCTTTTGATCCAGATCATCTATGAATATGTTAAACAGTAATGGTCCGAGCACAACTCTTTAGAGAACTCCTGTTAACCTCTCTCTTAACTGTGACCATTTTTTCCAACCGTTCTTTCCCATCCTCTCACTAATTCATGAGTGAAACTTCTCACATATTTCCTTACTTTGCTTAAGAGCCTTTGCTGAGGGACCTTGTTAAAGACTTTCTGATAGTTTAAGTACACTATATCCATTGAATTGCTTTTGTCTACATGTTTATTGACATCGTCTCCCTCCCTTTCCTACCTGGCACCCTCAAATAATTTTGATAGGATTGATGAGGCATGATTTCCCTTTAAATAGCCATGTTGTTACAACATAGGAAATGGAACATGAGGCATTTTACAATATATATACACCATTTTAGTGCTAATTATCCCAGAAAATTAGATCTAGATGTCTGATAATTCTATTATTTACTATAGTCTAAACCAATTTGCTGGTAATGAGGTTAGGCTTAATGGCTTGTAATTTCCAGAATCACTTCTGGAACATTTTCCAAAAAACAGCAAAACAACCCTAAGTTGCCATCATCTGGTACAGAGGCTGATTTAAGCAGTAGGTTACATACCACAGTTAATACAGGTTGTACCTCCCTTAACTGGGACTCTCTGGTCTGGCTGGACCACAGATGTTCCTGGACCACAGAGCCCAGCTATGGGGAGGTCGGGCTGCGGGACAGCAGAAGCAGGGGAGGTAGAGACTCATGCAGCTTGTAGGCATTTCTCTCTCGTGGCTGTTCCTTTAATTTTATTCCACTAGCCTACTCATTTTTGCAGTGTTCCCCCTTTTGAAATTAAATGCTGGTGTGGGAGGCTTCTTTGATATTTCCTCCCTCTCAGGATGTTAAGTTTAATTACATTATAGTTGTTACTACTATGTAGTTCAGCTATATTTATTTCCACCGTGTCAACATATCACTTTTTAAGTAGTGAAACAAAAGTTTTTTTCTGTTTTGATCCCTTGTGGATCAATCTCTTTCTATAGGACAATTATGTGAGTGGTGAGTGTTGTTTATTTGGTTCTTGTGGGATTTTAAAATGTATTTTAGTTTTTTAATTCTTGGCAGTCCAGTTCACTGAAGAAAAATTGTGCTGGCTACTGGAAAGTAATAATGCCATGCCATTTATATAACACGTGACTAATTTTTATTAGGCTATTACCAATAATAAAATTACCACCTGGATTTCCAGACTTCTAGTAACATTATATTTCAGTACACCACTGTAAAAAAAAAATCAATTTTTGATTCTCAAGCAGATTTTGTAACATTTTCCAATATTTTGGAATATAAATGACCTCTCAAAAAGCACAGTTAATTCACATTTCCATCTGTGTTTAAAAGAATTAGATTTACAAATAGAAGTAGCGGAAGAAACATTGCATACAATTTTGAGGCTACACAAGAGTAAGATAAAAATTGTTTTTGACAAACAAGACATCATATCATACTAAATTTAGATTGCTAATTGCTTCTCATTCAGCAAGTACAATGACAATTCTACAGATATAAAAATGTAAGTAATCACTTCCCAATTAAAGAATGTATCCTTCCAATTTTATTTAGCATTGTTTCAAATGGAACAATAGGTAAGTTCCAGGCAAAAAGTATATCAATATATATGCACTCACCTAAGCATCCTATCTATACTTTTAACATTAAGGTTAGTATTTTGGGGGGGGGGGGAACTAAACAGGACTGGACTAAAATGTAAAAAGATAGACATTTTAAATGGATGTAGGTATGTAGTGAGTCACTTCCTACAAGACAGGGAGGCAATTTGCAGTACAATACACTGCTATATTTGGAAGCCCAGAGCCACCTTTGCTTTATGAGCCTCTGATCTTTCTATTTTAACTTTTTCTCTCATAAAAAGGTTTGATCGTGAACTAATTATTTTAAAGTCAGTCAGTGAAATTTTAAGTGAAGCAGACTAAGTAAGTAATTCAGCTGTTATCATTTTGACAGTTTCGGTTCAACCCCACAACAAGAGTATTAATTTGCTCTACATGAATGGTTGGTCTCCTAGAATGATATTGTCTTTAACTGTATTTTTAGTCTTTTGTTTAACAATATACCCAAGCAAATTATGCCCTCTGGTAGCTATAAGAAATGTTATTTGTGTGGCAAGTTATTAGGGAAGAATTGGGACAAGGTGAGTGCTTCGTTTTTTGTAAATTTTTGTTTCGATACAACTTCATTAAAAAGTTATATAATATAATCTGTTGATTTTTTTCTGGGATAATTAGCACTAAAATAGTATATATAGTGTAAAATGCCTCATGTTCCATTTTCTATATTGTAACTCCCACATTTCTACAAGAGGCTCCAACTAATATTGGCGACTCTATTCAGCCAGGGATCCACAAGTCATAGGGGCCCTGGACAAGATCTGAGACCCTACTATCATTACAGTTCGGCTGAAGGAAAGTTCTGGAAGCAGTGAAGCTGGACAACAGGACATGTGATGCACTAATCCTGCAATCGTGGTTTCTGTCCTTTGGGACTGTCCCTTACTCTGGATATTGAAGTTTGGTGCATGGTTTCATAGTGTAAGAAGGGCCATACTGGATCAGAACAAAGGTCTATCTAGCCCAGTATCCAGTCTTCCAACAGTGACCAATGCCAGATGCCCTAGAGGGAAAGAACAAAACAGGTAATCCTTACATGATCCACATCCTATCTTCCATTCCCAGTTTCTGACAAACAAAGGCTAGGGACACCATTTCACCCCCGCTCCCCTCATCTGGCTAATGGCCATTGATGATCCTCCATGAATTTATCTAGCTGGGTTTTGAACTCTGTTTAAACACCTGGCCACCACTTAGGTTTGGCCTGGTTACCCTTCCATCATAACAGTGGAACAGCCAGGCCAAATGTGAGAAAGTGTCATTGAGACCTGGCACACAGAGTCACAGTAGCCTTCAGGTTTGTATAGGGTCACACCACTACTCACTCAAATTTGATCTTATCACTCTTCCATCCTAATGGAGGGCCAGCTGGGCCAAACCTCAGTGGCACTGAAATCCCATGCACTAGTTCACAACTTCATTCACTCTTGAGGGCCTCTCAAA